TTCAAGTTTACCTTCAACTCCCTATCTAGTCTTATCAACAAGAAGAATATCATCAGCAAAAAGCATACACCAAGGTATATCCTCTTGCAAATGTTTCGTGAGAATATCCATGACTAAAGCAAAAAGATATGGGCTTAAGGTTGATCCTTGATGTAACCCAACCGAAATAGGGAAATACTTGGTCAAACCACCTTGTGTTTGAACACAAGTAATAGCTCCTGCATGCATATCTTTAATGATTTGAATATAAGCGTTATTAACTCTTTTCTTTTTAAGAACTCTCCATAGCACTTTTTTGGAACTTTATCATATGCTTTTTCTAAATCAATAAAAATCATATGTAGATCCTCCTTATTTTCTCTATATTTCTCCATCAAACCTCTTGATAAATGTATGGCTTCCATAGTTGACCTACCCGGCATGAATCCAAATTGATTTTGAGAAACATTAGGATTTACTTTCTTTATGAAGCAAGATAGTTCATTTTCCCCATATTCTCTACCCACAACGACACCAAATAAAAATATGATTTCTAGTTGATCCATCTCAGGCTTGAGATTGGATCGCATTTTCAAAAGATGAGTTGAAATAGGCTCAAGCCTCTTCGATGCGAAGTTTTGAGCCAGAATTTGCTTTTACACAATTATGAGTCCAACAAAAATCAAATAGAGAATAGATTTCAACATGTCTTTGAAATACCGTTCACTTATTTGAGCTGATGTAATGAAAAGATACTTGGACTCAACGTGTGGTTGACTGAAAGTGATGAAATGTTGCAATTACAGACATCACTTCATAACTGACTTGTAGAATTAGAAAAATTCAATGTAATTGAGCTTTTGACATAACTGAAGGATCCAACCCTTAGCTTCTTCAACCCCAACTTTCCAAAGCTCTAATTCAGTCTGAATAAAATTCCAATAAAAAAACGTAGCTTGCTAATCAGTTCTTTATGCTCTAGCTTACTCCCTAGTAAAAACAGTCCTATTTTTAATCAATTTTCAATCATTGGAGCACATCCGAGTTCGGTCTCTTTTAGATAAAATCCCGCATAGTTCCAATGGAGAGTTCCAGTGAACATTGTAACTTAGTTTAGTACTTGCTATCATTTCTAACCTGTTGAAACACATTAATATTCACTCCGAAGAAATGTACACATTCATTACACTTGCCTTCATTTCTTTTCTGCATAATAAGACAATCCTACATCACCAATTGCAAACTAAGACACCTCTAGCCTGACAGAATTTTTTTTCTTCTCCTGAAACAATTAAAGGTTATGTACTTTGTAACTTTGGAGAGCAAATTTTTAAGACTTATAATTAATCAAAAATAAAATTACAATATTTATAGTATGCTTGATATCTTTAGTCCTTACAATTTTAATTTCTACAACAACTTCTCAAAGAAAATAAGATACAAATTTAAAATTCAAATAAAAATGGATTTTCTAATATCTTTCAGAGAAACCATCCCAATACAATGAATGTATTCTTTTCCTCATAATCCAACCGGCACCTCTTTATATCCCATTCATCAGTTCTTTACTTTCCAAATACTTCACAAAGAAGGCAGCGAGCTGATATCGTCATGTTTTTTTGTTATTTATTAGGGAAAGATGGAAAATGTAAGGAACCTCAGCTCACGGTTTTGATGGCATACCATTTTAATATGTTTCACCGGTTAATGGAATCCATTATTTACACAACAATTTAAGGCTTTGTTTTGGACGACTTTCTTACTGTTTTTTGAAGCAGTTTTTTAGTAAAAAATTAAAACTTTTGTGCTAAAAAACTGTTTTAAGAAGTAAGAAAGCGGTCCCAAACGAAGCCTAAGTCACTCAGCACAACAACACAAGATAATATAAAATGTGCAATCGGCATGAATTTGATGAAGCTAAAAGCATGACTCATAGAATTAATCTTCCTTGAGAAAAGCAAGATATAAGCATTGCAGTATAATGACGTATACCTTCCCTATCAGAGATTTTCATCGAATTCAAATATTCTACTTAAAGAAAGATTGGAAGGAAGAAGTTAATAACAAACCTGCTTTTTTTGGCCTTTATTTTGATAATAACTTTCCTCTGCACGTTGTAAGGCCTCAAACTTCTCATCAAGAGTAGCTTTAGATGAAATCTTAGACTTTGCTGAACATTCTAGGACCAGTGCTTCATCTACAGTTTGGGCAAACTCGTAATAAGCAACTCCATCTAATAAGCTAGAAAATTAGAACAAATGCTACATCGAATGAGCTAGAAGATTAGAAGTAACTTCTACTGATTCAGATTGTAAGGAAAATAAATAAGCAACTCCATCTAACAAGCTTAACAATTACATCTCGAAAAACATTAGAGTCCTAAAGTTGAATAACAAGTAAAATTTTAAATCTTTCCATCTCGAAAAACATTTAGATGGAGGGCCTAAAGGAGTGCTTAAGTTGCCTCTAGTGAGCTTTAGAGATCATGGGTTCAAGTCATGTGAAAAAACTATTTGCAAGGTTAGGCTGTATGCATTAACTTTATCAATCTTCCGAAACCCCATATTAGAGAGAACTTCATATACTAGATACGCTATGTTCAACGGTGACTTCCTACCATAGAAAATAATGAATCTCAAAAGTTGATGCAGTAATTACTTAATAATGGAACCAAATTTATTTTGGTGCAGGATTCAAAACATGAACATCACCTTTTTGAGGTAAGGGATAATACCACCGGGCCACAGACCCAATGATGAAGAGATTCTTGATTTCATTTCATATCTAGTTTATCTTTATTGCACTAAATACCAAAGCCTTTTGACGATATCTGCACCAACGATTACATGGGGCATTTTCCCACCGCAAGTTATGATTAAATATACCACAGCCAAAAAAGGTATGGTGGTTTTGATAGATGCTTCCAAAAGAGTAATAAATGATTAACATTTTACATTATTTTGAGTCATAAACTAGGAAAGACCTTCAGATTCTGATATATCTTCATTAGAGTCCTCTTCCTCCTCTTGATTCCAATATTCACTCGCTGGATCTGATGCAGCCACAAACGATCTAGAGAAGAGACAATAAAATGAGCAAAAAATAGTTCCATTAAAATTGTTGGGAAAGACAAACAATATATAATTATGAGGGCAAATTTTACAGTAAGATACAGTCAAAGGAAAACTCAAACAAGAAAATAAGATCTAAACCAGTTAACAATTTTAAATTGTAAAACTAAATCTATTGCAATATTACTTATGATACCAAAAACTTACTCCTTAAAAAAGTCACGTATATTATGTCAAATCCAGGTACATAGGGTGAGTTCAGGTTGAAGGAAATGAAGGGACTGCAAATACATTTCACTTCACAAAAATTATCCCAATTTATATATCTATACAAGATATCTCAATAAAGAAGCAAATAATTATAAATCATGCATAAGTGATCTAATATAATCATTCCTAAATCAGCCAACTAAATATGGAAGGAGATCGGTGTGATCCAGGTGAGCCTCCCACGGATTCCCATCCTAGTCGTGAGATCAAAATGCCAAGGGACGGCTGGGATTTAACAGGCGAGCCTCCCACAGATTCTCATCCTAGCCATGAGATCAAAATGCCAAGGGACGACTAGGATTTAACACTCCACCTCAAGCTGGGGAATACATATATGTCATTCTCATCTTGATTATTAATCCTAGCAAGATAGAGTTATCGAGTCCCTTGGTAAGAATATCTATAAGCCGATCTTTTGATGAAACATGATCGATACATATAAGACCATTGTCTAATTTCTCCTTCATGAAATGTTTGTCCATTTATATTTTGTCCACAGCTTACATGTGAGTCTGCTTTGAATTTTGCATGAACTAGCTCGCCATGCTTACAACAAACACTATATTTGGTCTGGTGTGGGAAAGGTAGATTAATTTCCCCACAAGTCTATGGTAAGATCCTTTATCTAGATTTGGATCTTCTTTAGCTTCCCCCAATTTGAGATTTGGTTCTACTGGTGTTGGTGCCGGTTTACAAGCTAATTTATATGTTTTTTTAAGAAAATCATTAATGTATTTTTGTTGTGAAATGAAGATCCTATTGTTGGAATGGGCCACTTCAATTCCAAGGAAATATTTTAATCTACCAAGATCTTTAATCTCAAATCCCTTAGAAAGACATTTCTTTAAAATCACTCTCTCCTTTTCATCATTCTCAGTCAAGATGATATCATCCATATAAACTAATAGAATTATGACTTCCCCTGGATCTGAGTGCTTGAAGAATAATGTATGGTCCCCTTGGCTTTGTCGATAACCATTAAGTAACATAACTTTTGAGAATCTTCCAAACCAAGCTCTAGGTGACTATTTTAATCCATATAGAGTCTTTTTTAACCTGCACACTTTGTTACCCCCAAATTTCTCCTTGAATCATGGTGGAATCTCCATAAATATTTCTTCCTCCAAGTCCTCATGTAGGAATATATTTTTGACATCTAGTTGTTCCAGATGCCAATTGTAATTAGCTGCTAGTAAGAGCAAGATCCTTACGGTGTTTGTCTTGGCCACCGATGCAAAAGTTTCCAAGTAGACAATGTCGTACGTATAAGCATATCCTTTCGCCACCAGTCTTGCTTTATACCTTTTAAATGAACCATCAGCATTATATTTCATAGAGAACACCCATTTACAACAGACTGATTTTTTTCCTATAGGTAGGTCGGTGATCTCCCATGTATTGTTCTTCTACAAGGCCTCATCTTTCATGACACTTCTAATTTTCATTAGATAAGGCATCAGAAATATCATTAGGAATATGAATATCATTTAGTGTAATCATAAAATTTTTCTGTGAATATGAGAAGTTATGGAAGGATACAAAATTGGTTATATGGTACAAGGGTGATTTTTTAGTGAATTTGTGTTTACCTCAATTTCAAGATATGGTTGAGATTCTTGGATATGCTTTGGAACATGATTTGGATTCGTATGCCTGGAATACACTTGTCCAAATCTCATGTTATCCATAATAGCTTTGTCCTCACTTTCCCTGGCTTTGATTTTAGATTTTTGAGGTGGAGCTAGAAAATTAAGAGGGGCAAGCTTACTTTCGTCATCTTCCTCAATTTCTCTGATATCATTTGTAACAGCATAAACTCTTAAATATCGAGATATTGTCCTGTTTGGACTAATAGCCTCATGGTTTTGTCTTGTTGGTGTAACTTCCCATTAGGTCATCCATCCCAGTATTGCTCCAGGATGAGCATGCTTAACTGTGAATTTTCTTAATGAAATTCCAACCATCATACAAAAAGGTATATCGATGTTTAAGAGTTTAACTTTTTTTACATAAGAGATTTCAAAATCTCCCTCACTTAAGTAACTGATGTCCTCGTCAGTATCTTTATCCTAGAATCACCTACCATACATATAGGATTCTAGAGGTGACACCTACAAGTTGGTGACTCCCACCACATAGCACTTTGTCCCAAGAGGTGGCTCCCATGGTATAGCACTTTGTCATGTATGACACAGTTCTCATCTTCCGGTAGTATATTTCTTTGATACCATGTTAAATTTAGAGAATTGGAGAGGAAAAAAAAATAATTTTATTGCACAAAAATATCCATATGTATAGATCTATACAAGGTATCTTAATAAAGAAACAAATAATTATAAAATCTTGCATAATTGCTCTAATATAATCCTTCATATATCAGCCAACTAAATATGGAAGGAGATCAGCATGATCCAAGTGAGCCTCCTACGGATTCCCATCCTAGCCGTAGATCAAAATGCCAAGGGACGGCTGGGATTTAACAGGTGAGCCTCTCACGGATTCCCATCCTAGCCGTGAGATCAAAATGCCAAGGGACGGGTAGGATTTAACAATAATTAATAAGTAAATGGATTTATCTAGAAAATAGAAGCAAATGCATTTTGCCTTTGACAATTCTCTACTCAATCTTCGTGAAAATTGGGTGGAAAAATTTATTCCATCAAACTCATGTCTCCCCCCCCCCCCCCCCCCCCACTGCACCACTCTCAAGAAATAATAATTCAATTTATCATCAACCAAACATGAAATTAAAAAAAAAAATCACTTAAATTTTCTTCAACCAAACAAGCGGGTGAAAAATAATTTCAATAAACTTTATTTATCATTTTAATTTTTATTTCTTTTTTATTTCATCTCTTTCAATTCCTTCAAACCAAACAACACCATCATATAAGCAATGTTTTATCATTTTAGGGATTCGAACCATTGACCCTCATTTTAGAGATTAAAGGCAACATATGTTTATACCTTCATCACAGGATCCAACGGGATGAAAATTATATGGAGGAATTTTTAGATACATTTTGCTTAGTAAATGCACTGATGATAACTTGTGCCACGAAAATGGTAGAGCTTAAGAAGCAGAAAAAAAATATAATAAGCCTGTAGGAGTATGACCCAGAAAATTTGTTCGAAACAGTTCTCAACTTTCTGACTCTAAAAGCTAATAATTACCTTTGAAGGAAAACAGGAGTAAGTCCTCCCTTCCTGAAAATGTTACCATTACGTTTAAGGTCTGCCAAATTTGTTCCAAGTAGAGATGGATATTTACATGCATCACATGATTTTTGACAAAGTGACGCAGATACCTATTTTGATGATAGCATATGATTTACATAGTTAATTCATGGAAGGAGAGTATTATCTATAATTAAAATGCATGACATATTCACAAATGAACTTTACTACTTGTTCTCCAAAATTCTGAAGGATTTTTCTCCGCCGGCAGCCAGAACCTTCACAATAGTCCACCATCTACACATACCAAAGGCCTATCATTACCCCATTGTAACTTGCATATCTATATTATTTTTAAACATTAAATAAAATAAAGGTGAACCTGTTTGAAATCTGTAAGGGGCTTCTTCAAGAGCTCATCGGAGGAACTCAAAGAGGGTGATTTCTTTTTAATGCCATTACTCAAGATGAATTCCTAGCAGCACAAAATAAATATGAAAAGCAATGTCTTTACAACTGATGAGTGAAACACTAGACTAAGATATATGCAACTAGTTGGCATATCTATATTACCATTCTTTTATGGTCATCCAAGCCATAATACAACACGCTTCTTGAAGGTTGCTGATCACGGCCAGCTCTTCCAGATTCTTGATAGAAGGCTTCCATTGACTTCGGAATGTTAAAATGGCAAACAACTCGAACATCCTTTCTGTCAATACCCTGTAGTCACAGACAACATTCTACATCGAAAATCCTCAAACCAACAACAAGAATTTCTAGCCAGACCATGAGGAAGAGCCAAAACATGAAACAGTCCTTACCATCCTGCAATAGCAGCATAAAAAAAGTCATTTGTGCTAATTGAAATACATTTCATTGCATACTAAAGGATATACTGTAGTAGAAGAACTATTTCTTTTGTGACACAATAAATGCTTGCTTATGTTCATCAAGATAACAGCCTAAAGTTACACTAGTTGTGTGTTGAAGGTTATTCACTTCACGAATTAGATGAACAAATGATGGAACAAAATTTTTAAACAAATCTAAGGAATGAATAACATGATTGGTGGCCTCTATTCCTGAATCTATTCTTCAAATAGAAATAACAATCGATCATGACTTGCCAATATAAGCTCTGCCAAAGAAGGCATAAGGCTGCTTCTTACAAAATGAATTCATTCCGTAAGAAAAAAGATGTAGAAAAAGACATACCCAAAATGCTTCAACAAGCTAACACATGACACTTTGAAATATACACATCTCCAATCGTCTTCTTAGTTAACAACTAGTGAGCTCATACGTTTAAACCTACTTTGTGTACAGTTCAGCATACATTAATTAAGCAGCCTAAGTTTTAAATTGAAGTACTTGAACAAACATGCATTAGCTGATTCATGTAATGTCCTACATGAAAGCAGATTGGAGCTTTAACAAATTGCACATTGGAAGTTAAGACAAAGGATTCTCCAAATTTAATATATATATATATATATATATATTATCAAGGGGAGTAAAGTACCCAAATGCCACTGTTGCAACAACAACAAGTATTCTGGACGATAGCCAATCATCTAAAACAGTGCTTCTCATTTTACTATTCAGACCTGCATGATAAGCTAAAAGAAAAGGAAAACGACAGCATAACATCTCAACAAATACTGAGTTATAGTTAATATATAAAGCACCAATCCACACATACCAGCCGAAGAGATGCCATTCTTTGATAGGTGCAAAGACAAATCATCACAAGTAGAGCGCTCAAGGCAATAAACAATGGAGCAAACAACCTGACCACTAGACTTGAGTAGATTTGACAGATCAGTGTACACATCATCTAGAAGATCCTTGAACCTCACTGCATTGATTGAACATTCATCATTTAAGTTATATGCTTTGTACATAGGAATAGGAAAGCAACTAAGAAAAAGAGTCATGAAAGCACGCTTTTTAGTATTGGTAACACCCCATTATTAAAAAATAGAAACTTGGATAGGCCCAGCCCTCACGAACTAACCCAAACCGCTTCCCACACAAGAAGTCATGTAATGAATGGACTTTAAATCCCTAGATAGGATCAAGGGTGGGAGAGAGTGACCAAAGGTGGGTGAAGGGCAAGATCGTGAAAGAGATGAACAGGAACAAAAATGCAACAGTTGATTTAGTTGTTGGATTCCAATGACCATCAATGTTTTTATCTAGTACTAAGCAGAATTGACACCTAACCCTCTTACACTTTCTACTTCCTCTTCTTTCTCATGTGATATCAAGCATTCATCTTTAAGTCGTCGGAGTGAGGGTTCCTCCCTACAAATCATCCATTTTGGTTTCTCTAATCTAAATCATAGAAAACCCAATGTTATGAAGAAAGAGATTTAACATATTATTTTTTGAGTAAAATTAAATGTTGAGAGGAATTTTACAAGCTGAAAATTAAATTAAACTTATGTATTCGATTCAAATCCCTTGTAGACGAGTCAATATTCATAAGTAGATTGTATTGGGAATGGCTAAATGTGAAAAAGAACACTATGCTTAATATAAAACAATTAGGCACAATAGAGATCCATTTAATTTTGTATCTTTATTGAACTTTTGACTTGGATTCTTATGCTCAACGGTGCATTGAGCCAATGTGTTGAGAGTAGGAGAGCTTAGAGTAATTATTGGCATACAAGTCTCATATGGGTACATGACTCAATCATTGAGGAATACACATACCTTTTCTATTTAGGGGTGGTTCCCTTGACATTTACAAGTAGATTATAGATCAATATGCATAAGTAGATTATATTAGAAGTGGTTAAATGTGAAAAGGAATACAAAGGTTAATATAAAGCAATTAGTCACATTAGGAATCTACTTAATTCTATATCTTTAGTGAACTTTTGACTTGGATTCTTATAATCTAGAGTACATAAAGCCAATGTGTCAAGAGTAGGAGAGCTTAGTCATGATTGGCATACCATTCTCATACGAGTAGGTGAACTCTCGTTGTGGAATAGACATATCCTTCCTCTTTAGGGGTGCTCCTTTGACATTCATATAAAATATATTAATATTCTTCAATTGTATATGTTATTTTACAATCTCATCCTAACTCGCTAATGTTAAGAAGTTAATCTATAAAAGAGGGCTAGAAAAGAGTATATGAATCTTTTTTAAGATAGTAGAGGTCTGTCAATCACAATAAAGGTGCCTCAACTAATTCTTCTTGCTATAGTTAACTTCCTCTAGTTTTGAACTTGTTTCCCATTGTAGACAACAAATTCTCTTATGTTTGGATTTTTTTCTCCTAGGTAAAAAATAGTTGGCTATATTTTGTTTAGGGTAATCAACAAATGTGATGTTTCAACATTAGTGGGCAGCACGCATATTGTTGTTTACCTACTCTATATAGCAATAGATTCCCTATGTTCCATGTTAAATGTCACAAACAAACTTGGAATAAAAATAGGTAGCAATGGCAAGGGCCAACAGATGTAGCCATGGGTGTTGGGAACATCTGAAGGTAGTACCTTAAAAGCCACCGCAGTAGGAATGAATGAGTCACAAGAGAGGCTGTTGGTTTAGCAATGTTGGGTTGGCCAATAGCTAGGAGAGGATTTAATGGAGAAATTTGATTGATTCTATTCCATAAGAAAAGCCTATATTTAGGAAAACTATAGCAGGAATAAAATCAAATTGAACTTTATCATTTTCTAAACTAACTCCACAATATAAGCAAGACTGTTTGAATTTAAAAGCGAACTTATCTAAAGCAAATTCAAAATAATTCCTATCCAATACAATTTAAATTTGATTCAATTTAGTGCTGATTGACCATATTTGGATCATTGGATGGGCTTATCAATCCATTTTTGTTGTCCCTAAGAATTTTTAATCCAATGGTCCAAATTTTCTACCTCCCAATCTTAATCATCAAGCAACCAATGAGTGCTCTGCCTTGCAGACTCTTGTCGATTTGATCTTCAATAACAATAATATGATTTGAAAATTTCCAATATTAAAATTTTCATCAACAAATCAAATGGTCAAAATTTGAATGATCTTGATCTTTTTGATCTCTTCATAATATGATGTCAAAATCCCGAATAAGGACAATTTGATTAATAATCCTCTATATCTAACCCCCATAACTTTCACGTATAGTTTGTTAATTAATAATTGTCATCATTGCCTTAATTGGGAGTAGATTATAGTCGAGCATGTTCATAAATGTGTTTGAATTCTATTGGTTTCATTATTATGCATATTGTTGCATAGCCTTGGTACTCAAGTCTTTAATATCATTATAATATAATTCAATTCGTATGTTTATAATTTTGAGTTATGTTGATGGATCATGCACATGGATATTGGTAGTGTATCTTTGTTATTACACCACTCAAAATTTAAAGTATATATAATTACACTGATGTGCTTGATGGATATGATTGTAAACAATACCCTTGTAATTGATTTACAATTAGCTGGCCTGGCCGACAAATCTAATGTTCAATGTGACAACTCACTTGAAAGGAGGATAGACTCCATCAAGTTGGTGATGACCTTCCTTTAGATTCAACATATTATGAAAGACAAACATATACTATAAAACATTGCTAATAGAACAACCCTTAAGACATTTTTTTGCATATCCAAGTATGGTGTGGTTGGTCATTATTATTTTAGCATTTAATTCTATTGATGGTTTTTTATCACATGTTTATGGACTCTATTGCCAGAATACAATTTTTTAATAGTGGATCTATCTTGTAGCTTTTTTGTTAATTAAACTACAAGATATAATAGCCTTAACAATCATACTATAATGCTTCTTATTGATTATGACATATTATTGATCACATTATATGCCTAACTCATCATTTTTGCCTTAATAAGTAGGTTTTATCTATTGAGTTTGTTATGTAAAAATGCACCTATTGATTTTGAGATTTTCATGTTACCATCTAGGCTATCATAAGCAATGAGGTAGTAGGTTCATGTTTCTTGCACATGTGGAGATGATTAATGTTATAATATTATTAACTTGATTTAAAATAAGTTTATCTCTTGTCAAATGAATTATTATATAGTTAAATTTTATATTATTTTAAAAAGAAAAATTACATAGATGATATTATAAATTTTACGCTCTAATTATATCATGGTGGGTATTAGGTAATATGGTCAAGTTGTTATTTATTAGACTAACAATAAAATTAACAATTAACCAAATCCTATAGGATGTTGTCAACAACGTACTCCAAATGGGTGAATTAGTTGTGACAAAACAATATTAAAGCAAGCTATGCTCATAAAAGGTAGGTTTATTAGTGTATTTGTGCCTTTTATTTATAATAATTTCCTTAGAGGTGCACATGTCATGGGTTAATAAATTAGCCTAAGTGTGCATGTACATCTAGTTTTCAATGTGTACTCTATTCCTCCATAATTGTCATCATTGTCGTGATTAGAAGTAGATATCAGTTGAATACACTCAAGATTGAGTGTGAATTTTGTTGGCTTAATTATTATGTATATTACTCAATGTGTACTTTATTACTTCATAATTATAATGGAGCATGATATTTTTTGGTTTCATTATTGCATATATTATTGCATAGCTTTAGCATTCACGTCTCTGATATCATTATGGTGCAATTGAATCCATTTGTTTATCACTTTTGAATTATGTTAATAGATAATTCACTTTAATATATATATATATAAATAGTACCCTCTTGATTGTTTTACTACTAGTTAGCTTTCAGTAGACCTAACATTTAGAGTGATGACTCCCTTAAAAGAGTTTACAGACAGTTAATTTTGTGATGGCCTTTCTTTAAATTTAGTATACAATGAGAGATTGAGATATACAATATAATTGATGGAGAATTACTTGAGACATTTCTTTATTTATGTAAGGTGTCGATGTTTATCATTATTTTAATTTTTAATGGCATTGAATGTCCTTATCAGTTTTCACATGTTTATGAACTCTATCTATTATGCGATTACCATTGTTTAAAATTTGTTATTTCAAATAGTCCTTGCAAATCAAATTATTCTAATTGATATAGTAGTCATAATATTTCTTTGATAATATGTCTTATTAATATTCCATATTGTATGCCCTACCCCTTATCATTTACAATGCCTTGATGAGTAGATTTTTATCAACTAAGCATGTTCTTACTAATTCAAACCTACTAATTTGTGGTTTTCAAGCAGCTGGGAAACCTTGCGAAGTGAGTTAGTAGACTAATGCTGCTTGCTGTATGGAGGAGATTAAAAGTAATTAATTTGATTGAATAGAGATTTAGTGTTTACTTATATTATTTGACACAAGAGCTGAGCTGCTTAATCTTGTTAACTTCATGCCAGATTAATTCCATATGGTAGTTAGTATGGCTATATATGTGTCATGTTTCTTATGTTGGTTGTAACCTATTATGTTGCTACATTTATCTATAAATATATAGCTAATACTTGTAATAGGGGATGATTAAGAAGATTTGAGTTGAGTTTTGTTTCATTTATGTATCCTTAAGTGTATTCAGGTGGTGGTTTCTTTCCAAGGAGTTCTTGGAGTTGTGCTGGGCTACGATGACCGGATTGTCGATGAGGAGTTATAAAACTCCCTCCTATCCGGTGTCATTTGGTATTAGAGTCGGACACAAGCAATCTCCAAGCTTCGGGGTTTCATTCTTGGGTCTGTTATGCTTGCAGTGTCCAACAACTGACAACCCATTCCTCTCCCACTCCCAACAGCGATCACCACTCACACTCAAGAGGTCAGCAGTAGAGTTTTTCCTCCGTCAAAATCGTGTTTGGGTGGTTCATCCCAAGTAGATCATCATGCCAAAGGGCTAAACCGGTTCGCTTTCTCTTCCAGCTTCCAATCTATTCCTCTCATGCAGTTGGCGGTTTCTTTCTGCTTTCAGCAGTCAAGAACGCGATCCAGTAGCCAAAAAGGGTGATGTCTTCTTCCAGTAGGCTCTTCTTGTTTTTGTTTTCTGTATCTTGGACAAAGATCTAAGTGGTGGCCGATTTCCTCCTAGGAGGACTTCAAGACATAAGCCACAATAACTTTTAGCTGTTGGATTCCTGTTGCTATCTTCTCCAAACGATCACCTCCAAACATCCATAGCAAGTCAAGAAATGCAAAACAACAGCCAGCTTCTTTCATTGCTTAGCTATTCAAGTTTTGGATAGCAACTAACAAAGCCAGACAATTCAATGTTGTTTGATTTCTTAAAGGAAATACCAACTTCACCAGCAGTAGCAGAAGAAGATTTACCAGCAAATTTCTTTGAATTCATCCTTCTCCGGAAAACTGGCCAAAACTTGCTCAACGATCCCACTGTACTCGTCAACGCTTAAGCCTCCACTAGAAAGCATGGTAGTGCTGAATGCTGGTAACAGAGAGTGCCAGTCCTAATAGCTGTTGGAAAGTTCTCAAGGTGACACTCGACAATCAGAGAGAGGCTATCTCCGTATAGACTTCCAGACAAAGCAACTAGTAAATGGATATGTTGTTCTCAGAGTCCAAATGAATAATATAAATAAAATCAGCCACTATTCATCCACCTACGCTGATCCAACTAGCAGGCCCTAGCCTGTTGAAGACTAATTTCACATACACTAGTTGCAGCCCTCTTCTTTGATCGAGTCACTACATTGAATTATATGTCTGCTACTTATTTTAGCAAGAAGACCTTTTGTTCAAGCCAATAATAGTCTGACAAGATGCCTCATCGATGGACGTTGCAGCGACCACTTCAAGAAGTAGAAATTGAAGATATTTGACAAGAAATTACCCAACTCAAACAACGATTGCCAAGGCTTGAACGAAGGACATACTTGAGCTCCCTTGCCCGGGACTTTCATGGCATCCGACCACGGGGCAAATATGCTCCCATGATGGCTTCAAGATTTCTCATTCCAACTAAATCCATAAGAACCAATGACGATAAAGAGGGCATCTCAGATGATCAGATCTTTTCTACCTATGAAGACGTGTTTGAAGGGTCAACTCATCAGTCTTCCACCCCACCCTAGATCGAGTCCAATTTCGATCGATTTAAAGATCCATGGACGAAATCATCGTCTTTTTCTGTCTATGATAAGACTGTATGATGACGACATATTCAATGGAATTCTTGATCTTGATAAGCCCGCATATGATGATGACGAGAGAATGGTGGATGCCCAGCTGGAGTTATTCATGCATATCGCTCCTGATAAGGCAACGAATGCGCTCTCCATTATTGATAATGAAATTGGTATGACCAAACTAGAACATGGCAAACACCTTGGTAGCTTCGCGCATTCCGACAAAAAGTTCATGAAGGCGCTCGTTGTGGATGCTGATATTTGCATGGTTGATCCATTTGGTGTTGAGTTCAATTCAATTCTTGAATAGTGTCGTTTGAAGGTGCTAATAAAGACACATTCTAAGTTTGTCAGCTATCCCATTTGTCATTGACTCCAGCTTATGTTGAAGTCTCTCCTAGACGGGGAGAATGACACCAGGTAGACCTATCCAGACGGTTTAGCCAACTGAACCCGCCTCCTTATTGGGGCCAACTGGACATCTTACTATGAGCCTGAAGTTCCTCCTACCCCGGTAGAATGACACCAGAGCTAAACTGCTTAATCTTGTTAACATCAGGCCAGATAAATTCCATATGGTAGTTATTATAGCTATATATGTGTTATATTTTTTATGTTGGTTGTAGTCTATTATGTTGCTACATTTATCTACAAATATATAGCTAATACTTGTAATAGAGGATGATTAAGAAGGTTTGAGTTGAGTTTTGTTTCATTTCTATATCCTGAATTATATTCAGGTGGTGGTTTCTTTCCAAGGAGTTCTTGAAGTTGTGATGGGCTACGATCACCGGATCATCGACGAGTTGTAAAACCCCCTCCTATCCGGTGTCATTATTACAATTGGTAGGTTCCATATTATTTTTGATAGATAAATTACTTGCATGGGATTTTATATGTTCTGATAATATTTCAATAGAAACACATTATTGTGATAGGTTATTATTTATTGGATAGACTAAAAATTTATCATTTTCACCCAATCTAGTTGGGATGCCATTAACATCTTCCAGGTTCAATGGGCGTGTTGTGATAATTGATCCATTAACAAATCTGCTACTCGTGCAAAATTCAAAATCTATTAACAAATCTGCTACACTGCAAAATACAAAGATTCAACAAACACAAGGATTATCTATCTCAGAGTGGTTGAAACATTCCTTTGCAAAATGGTTTCTATATGGGGAAGTCATTGAGTGCGGAAAAATATATTTAATGTCATTACCTTCATAATATATATTAGGACGGTTGAATGACGTCCTAAGAATCAATGGATTCCTCAGCTGCAATGACTTGACGACATCCTCTTGAACCCTAATTTATGATATCCTTTCATTAATTTATGATATACAATACCTCAAAAGTTAGGCAATATGACAATTGGAAAGCAAAAGAAAATCCTGATAGAAACAATAGGGATTCATCCAATGTGAAATTTATATTCCAAATAAAACGGCCACCCTGAATAAAAAAATTCAACACAAGCAGTTATGCTTAGCAATAGATGTGACATTATGTAGAAACACATCACTACCCAGATATTGTTGCTAAGATATAAGTTCGCTTGCTTATATGTCCTAGATTTCCACTAAACTTCCTTGCACACAAATTTGGAAAATAATCTCACATTTTTTTCCTGCCATTTATATGTACATTAAAAATGATGATGTCAAATGTTATTAATTCCACCGTGCCTCTAAATGTGTACTACTGATATGACTAGACCTATTCCCAAGGAGAATCTCATATGACTAGACCTTCTATTCCCAAGGAGAATCTCATATGGTTTCCCAAGTACTCTATCACCTTGCTTTCCCATTGCCGGTGAGCAGTAGACAATAGAGGTTTGACATACCTAAATCTCAAAGGGTGCTTGGGATTTCTCTAACCACTTGCACAATCAAAATTCAGGGCAGCAAACCACATTCAGGTTGATCAGTATTGGGACAAAAAGATGTTTCTTTTGTTTGGGTTTTAGTAACCCATCCTTTAATCATGATGCTTAACTGTCATATGTGCTGGAAAACGTATCAGTGAGCTATGCTGAGAACACACGTTGGAGCCATTGTCCATATTCCAAACAGAGTGATGAGGACATCGTCAGCGATTTCAGCACGTGTACCATCGGAGACGCTGGAGATCGACGGTCACGATCAGGAGTTTTATTTTGAGTCTTTTTATGTAATAGTTTATTTTATTTTTCAGTTTTTCCATTTTTGCCCTTATGGGTATTTGGTTGCTATTGTATCCCAAGGGGCATTTTAATCTTTTATTTTCTTTGTCATTTTGAGGCCTATATATATGGCCATTTTCTTATGTAGGAGGATGATGATTATTGAATGCAAATTTTTGCTCTTGTGTTCTCTTTGTGAGTTCCCTC